GCTGATAGAAACTCGATTTTTCAGGGGAATTTTATCGACAGAATTTCCAATTGTTCCTCTCACCAAATGAGATCCATTTTCAATCTTCATTTAATTAAACGGACATTTAATTTTTATTTCATTAAAAGTTAATTTCGATCTCTTTCTATTTTCCCTTTTTCTCAATATTAGCTACTCGTGATTGGAAAAATTACTTCCAAATTCCGAATTATATAAAATGTGATAGATAATTTAGCGATAATAAAAGTACACCCAGTCCACTTCTTTTAATTCTTCAAAAATAGTATCTATATTTATACCTGACATTATATGCAATATATTATGGTAAAACCATTTGCAAATTTTATAATATCGATTTAGTTACTGAATTTTGAAGATATGTAGGGACTTTAGTTTTAATTGGCAAATATACGGAATAAAGGATGTCGTTAATTCCAATATATTTTATTTACGAGCTAAAGAGACTCAAGAGTAAAAATACAAACTAAAAGATTAGGCTAATTATGCAATCCACACTCGCACGTCAACTCTTCCAACTATCACCGACTCTACTCTCCTTCAAACTTCATATATACTCTTATCAACAGGACTATCCGTGTACATCTTCCACACTTACAATTCCTACACATATATATTTCTAATAAATAACATTTTCTAACATATCTTATATCACCCTAATTGTACATACAATTTTTGTACCATTTAAATACGTCCACGATGAAACATTCAATATTGCCTGTATATGTATACCTAATTAATACTAAAATAATTAATACTAATAATAATTCTAAAATAATATTAGATGCTTATATGTACATATATATTTAAATCCACAGCAATGGCTGGAAATTATATATTAAATGAATTTTATGAATAGTGATGGGACCAAACACATAGTAGGTAGTTAATATCGAACAAATAGGTTCTAACCACTTATGAGTATTATCAAAAATAATAATATTAATAATAATAATAATTATTTCGAGATTTTATTAACTTGGTTAAAACCCCGTCATACAGCTGAAAAGACCACAAAGTGTTAACCAGTGAGAGCATAGGGGTTATAATAATAATAGTAATAGTAATAACAATCATAAATAATAAAAATAATAATAAAATGATAATAAAATAATAAATATATTTCTCAGTATACTCAAACACTGGTCGACTACTTGGGCTATAATTTGGCTCCAAAAGAATGCAATTTTTTCTTTTTTCTTTCAAATAAATACACAACTACCACTATAGTTGTATATATAATTCCTCAATCCTCGTTCCCCAAAGAAAACCTGGAAAACCACTCAGATATATTGCCGCATACCACTGCACGCTGTATTTTTCTGAAAATTTACATCTGGCAACGGGAACCGAAACTTTCGACACGAATTCTCCGAGCATCTAAGTCCTCATTGGTCCCGGCATCCTCAGCGAAGGAACAAATTAAACCTTCCGCAGAGAGGAAGCGATTGGACGTTTGAAACTCGTCGAATTGCCCTCGAAATTCGTCTTGAACGTGAAAGCGTCCCTGGCACTGGGCAAACCGTTGACCAAAAAGCTAGTTCGACTGCCGGAAAACCGATTCAATGGTCCAAATTCATCGCGTTCCCGCAGAAACTTGTCTTCCCTGCGAGCCCATTCCTAAAACCGGTCGAATTCCGCGCCAGCGACAGAACTACTCTCCAGAACTCGATCATGCTTCTCTCAAAGCTTCCCCAAAAACCGATTCCCCTAATCGGCAGCGATCGATCGATCAGTTCGTTCCCGTCTACCTTCACGCGATAATTAAACCGTGAAAAGAGATCACAGCGAATCACGTGCAACTATTTCTCTGTGTTTGGATTAATAGTGATCGCAGATTACGTAAATACCGATATTTCGTGATTTCGAGCGATGTTACCGTCGATGATGATGATCGTAAGAGTAATTATGGCGATAAGTTTTATTTTCGTTAATGGTAATATCGTAATTATTTTATTAATGGGAGTATGGTAATTATTATATGGGGAGTTTGATTTGGTGCTGGAGAAAATTTATCGTTAAAAATATTTTTATGATAATTGTAATTTTATAAACGATTTTTGGATAATTGATAAGGTAAACGAGAGTCGAGGATGGGTATTTAATTTTGATCACGATTATTGGTATAGGAGTGTCGAAATGATTAGAGTGATAAGTATCGTTGAGGGTGATTGATGATCGTTTGAAGGGTCGAACAGGAAACTATAATTTTTCATAAGGGGAATTAATTCTGGAAAGTTGATAAATACTTGGGACTAAAATTATTGTGTTTCATACCTAAATGGTAATAAGTGATTTAACACGTTCACTGCCGTGCGCATTTTACGTGGTTTGCAAATGGCGCCAAAATGAATTTTCTATTATGCGATGGGTATTATGTTGAAATATTATTTACAGCAGATAAGATGAGTTATATAATCGTGTTTAATGTATTTTTATTTTTATATTTATTTATTTATATATTTAGATATTTTATTTATATATTTAATGTATTTTACATATTTATTGGAGGTGTGACTGGATTGAGAAATTGTAAGAATGATAAATATAATTGTTTATAAATAACAAATAGTATGCTATAATAATTTACGAGTAATAAATGTAATTAATATAATAATTCTTATTTCACAAATAAAATTGTTAAGTAATAATTTAGAGGAAATAAATAAAAATAAAATTTTGAATCGAATGATCTGGAATATTTTCCTAAACTCGAACGTAGCAGCGAAAGCACGCGAAATAGGAGATTCGAGTAAGAAGTCCAAAAGTAAATAACACAGAACTAGAGTTCGAACGACCTCGTCACAACCCTAAACACGACGACCAAACGAGGAGTTTAACACGTCGCTAGACATTCGTGTTTCTCAGCCATGTATCCACAACAGACCTAGGAGAACCTACACCATCTCGACCATGGTGAAAATAATATCTAATAATTTAAATTCTGTGAAATATATTAAATAAAATATTTAAACTTACATTTTAACGTTCGATTAATAAAAATATACAGATTTGTATTCTAAAATTCTATTTAACATATTTAATAAAATATTTGAATCTACATTCTAAAATTCTATGAAATAAAATATTTGAATTAACATTCTAAAATTCTATTAAACGTATTAAATAAAATATTTAATTTTACATTCAAAAATTCCAATAAATTTACATTCCATTAAACATATTAAATAAAATATTTAAATCTACATTCTAAAATTCTGTAAAACATGTGAAATAAAGTAATTATATCCACATTTTAAAATTATTAAATGAATTAAATAAAATATTTAATTTTATACCCCAAGACTCGAATAAATTTACATTCTATTAAATATATTAAATAAAATATTTAAATACACATTCTAAACTTCTATGAAATATGTAAAATAAAATATTCAAATTCACATTCTAAAATTATTAAACGAATTAAATAAAATATTTAATTTTATATTCCAAGACTCGAATAAATTTAAATTCTATTAAACGTACTAAATAAAATATTTAAATCTACATTTTAAAATTCTATGAAATAAAATATTTGAATTAACATTCTGAAATTCTATTGAACGTATTAAATAAAATATTTAATTTTACATTCCAAAATTCCAATAAATTTACCTTCTATTGAACATACTAAATAAAATATTTAAATCTACATTCTAAAATTCTATGAAATAAAATATTTGAATTAACATTCTAAAATTCTATTGAACGTATTAAATAAAATATTTAATTTTACATTTCAAAATTCCAATAAATTTACATTCTATTAAACATATTAAATAAAATATTTAAATCTATATTCTAAAATTCTGTGAAACATGTGAAATAAAATAATTATACCCACATTCTAAAATTCTATTAAACACGTTAAATAAAATATTTAATATCACATTCCAAGACTCGAATAAATTTAAATTCCATTAAAGGTATTAAATAAAATACTTAACTATCCGTTCCAAAATTCTAATAATTTAAATTCCACGAGTTAGGTGGAATAAAATATTAAAATTTGCGTCGTGAAATTTAATAATCAGATGTATCCCACAAATATCTCGCAGAATTCGAGTACCTTGCTGAAATATTCCATTCGTCTCTCAGAAATTCGAAATAATAAAGACAAATTGGAAAAACTCTTTGAACTCGATCCACCCCTAAAAAATACACGATGCATATTCAAATTTGCTTCGCGGCGCATCTCGAAACTACTCCCCAATTAGATCGTTGAAATACTAATAACGTACGTATCCGCAATAAGTAACGCAGAAGCGAAAATCCACTGCGTCCTAATTACCGTTCTCAGCACGCCTCTACTCTTCCAATCTCGAGCACGATAAATCATACAAATTTACCCCGAGTAAACTACCCGAATTCTGACAACAGATTCGCGATATATAGCCCACGAGCCTACAATTACACCGTAATCCAGATATTTCGATCGCGACTCGCTAATTAAATCCCGGAGATCCATCCCGAACTAATCACACGTAGCCTCAACGACCAGTTCGTAATAAACACTACGCAAACTCGGAATCATAACAAAATCCTTGCCCTCTACGCACAAGGTCTACACTCGCCTATGTTTCCGCTTCCGAGATATCTCTGTTCGACACCGAACGTGTCACGACCGGCAGAAAAATAAGAAAAGTAAAATAAAACCAGAGAAATATTAATAACACGAATATCTAAAGAAAAGTAATCATTTTTATCGGAAAATTAAAATCGGTTATTTCAAAGCTCGCTAAATTTCTGAAAATGTAGTTTCTAAATATTCTTATCAGAGTTCCGTCGAATCGGATAATTTTCTTCGAGATAATACGTAAATTATGTATATATTTTATGCAACTAAGTTAATATTAAAATAAATGACAAATTTATATCATACATTTATACACGGGACAGTGGAGAGTCGAAAAAGCATAGACACTCTCGCCACTGAACCGTGGACAAGAGACGACTACATTCCATCATAGATCACTTACTTTGCAATCTCTCGTGAAGGGCCGCAAGCACACCGGAACCAGGAGAACCCACTCTGTTTCCACTCCACTTCACACGCGTCGCCGGTTCACAAAATACCACGGTCCACGAGTAGCTGCGCACAGCGCTGCCACTGGAACACCACTGGACGTTTCATTTCACCGCACTCGGACACCCTGGTAAACCCTTATTATCCGCGACGACAGACTTGCTTATCCCCCGAGCGAGACACCTGTTCCTCTTCGCCTGCTTCCGCACTGGGCTCCACGCGACTCGTGGACAGCGTGGACTGGCGAGGCGAGGCACTCGAACACCACTCGCACTCGCGAACCACGGATCCAACGGAGGGGTGAGTGAAACGTAGACGCGAGAGAAATTCACGGCCGCACTAATGCTGGTTTCGTTTTATTTCCCTTCCGGTCGATTTTTCTCGCCCGGGCTAGGCGGGATTCGTTCCTTTCGGGACGAAAGGATGGCTTTTACGAGGGGTTGAACACGGGTAGACGTTGAGTGATTGAAAGACGCGACGAACGGAAGCACGGACACTCGCGTGGATCGACAAAGCTCGCAGCGTGGCGGGTCGGCCGCGACTGAATCGAGCCAAGTCGACTCGGATCGCGTCGGGCTTGAATGAGCGTGGCCGAGCGACGGAGATACCCGAAGTGCGCCAGAAAGAGACGAACACTGCCGCGCTTGGGGTTGGAGGGGGGCGATGGACTGCCGCTGGGTGGTGGAAGAGCGAGTGGGACAGCGATAGCGGGAAGTGGAAGCAAGAAAGAGAGAAGGTCGTAGTGTTAGACCCTTTACGATCGGAATTTTGTTCGTTTATTAGAAAGTGATTATTGGTCGGTATGGATTCTAGTTTTGGTTTCGGGGCTCAGAAACGTGGCTTTTTCGATTTCAAGTGGTGAATCGAATATATCATTTTCTCAGTTGTTTTTGATTTTAAGTAATGGGTTCAATATATTATTTTCTCAGTTGTTTTTGATTTTAAGTAATGAATTGAATATATAATGTTCTCGATTGTTTTTGATTTTAAGTAATGGATTGAATATATAGTCTTCTCAGTTGTTTCATAATTATTTTAGTAACTCCATATATCTATTAATACAGCAGGAGCTCTATTTACCTTGCTAAATTTTTTATGAACTTCTCTAATGTTAATTTAAATACATAGAATTCTAGGTTGACTCTCTCCATAAATTTGTAATTTCTGAAATTTAAATGTTTCAATTATGTATTACCTTTTTGATATCAACAGTGACACAGTAATGACAACAAATTTGGATTCATTTTTCCAATCTTACCCAAATTGTTTTATGAAAATATTTCCTTGGCTTTGATGAATTTTTAGCTTCTCCCCTAAATTTTTATTTTAATTTTGAATTACGTGGAATAAACTTGATTCCTAATTTTCTCAAACTATAGCACGATTATGGTGTCATCGATCGTTGAATTATTAAACCAGCCCAATCCTATAATCAAGAACCCCTCAAAAAATGTTGAAGAACACGATACTTGTATCGAGTACACTTATGAGTGCTGAACAGAGAATATTTCGTGTCAAATCTGTCTTCATTTAACTTCATTTGTGAAACACTATCTACAGCGAGTCCCACACATTTCCGTGAATACTTTACCGACCTATTGCGCGTATAAAAATAAGACAAAATGTCATATAAACGGGTTCACAGAAACCCTATTGAAAAGCCATAATAAGAAAGCGTCAATCGATTTCCTTCTAATCCGATGCAGGATAAGAATAAACAGATGGTGTTTGCGTTTCATATTGATTCGCAGAATGAAGTATATCGAGTAACAAATTTACCGAATTAATTCAATAATATGTCGATTGCACGAATAGTACAATCAATAGTACGTATTATATACTACCTCTGCAGCTACGCGTTCCAAAGTGTTATCCACCTCATCGATGTAAGCCTAACATCAACGTACTATTGAATATTCATCAAATGAAACATTAATTCAGTGCACCTATCTTGTATTATCGCAAACGAACACGTAATTCGCCTATTTTTATTCCGCATTACGTTGAAAGTGAATTAACCTTTCCTTTTTACTGCATGTTTCTGTCATCACTTGTTAACAAAACTCTGAAGAGCTTTGCTGGATTTAAGTACAATAATATTTTATCATAATTTCGAAGCTAGAATAACCAAATTCGTATGAAGATCTGTGAAACGTAATTTATATGAACACATAGTTATGGAATATTTATTAATAATGTAATAATTATAATAATAATCGTAATAATATCAATTCCTTTGTACAAATGAACGAGTGAAGTTAAACGGATGAAACAGAAACGGAAGTTTGCACAAAGAGTGTTTCAAAGTTCAACGAAAGGAGAATATGGTTTTAAAGTTTATATCTGATAACGATAATAATTTCTGTTGGATATGAAATTGAATTAACAATAAAATAAAGTAACACGTTATAAGGAATTGCAATTTTTTGAATGAAAATATACGAGCACCTAACCTAAAAGTCACGTGGGACTGAAGTAACCGAAAGCAGCGCTATCTATAAATGAAGTCCCTCGCGCCATTTTGTCCTCGGCGAACGTTATTAATACGAAGCAAAGAGAATTCTAATACGATTTTATTTTATTTACAGTTTCAAAAGCGAATGAATACTCTTTAAAAGTTTGTTTGGTGTTCAACTGAAGCTCACTTCCATACCTTTCTTCATAATCCTACTTTCACCTGATTTTCCGTTCGCAAAAATCACGCTGACTTTTGGAAACGTGAAATAAAAGACCGTTTGGACGTTCGAAAAACTGGGAACGTGAAGTCTGTCGTAGAAAAAAGCAGGATAATTAGGCTTCCGAAAGAGAATATTACGTGTGGCGATGCACGGAGTATTTTCAACTATTTACCCGGTAATTCGTGTTCATAAAAGCTAAATACTTTAGCTTTCTAGCCAGAACCTAATTTATTAACGCATACCAGCAAGACATAGTATACAAAATGAGATTTGCATATTAATTCCAAGTCAAGTGCTCTTGAACCGACGAATTTCCTGCTTGCTTTTCTCAAAACTGGACGCTCATTTGCAAAAATATTCTTGCAATTTCAACTGCGTAATTTTATCGAGCGAAAAGCATGGTTTTCGAGGGAGAATAAAAGTTTCGAAAGAATAAAGAGAGATTGTGAAGTACAGAGAAAAGAGATGGCTACTGTAATGTGATATGTACAAGAAGAAAACAATTTTTGTAAAGCATACAGGAGAAAATAAAAATGGAAGAATGATCTCATCCGACAACCTGAAAAAAATTTACACGACGGTATAACAACGAAAAAAAGAAAGAAAAACGAAATATTCGTGGAATATTTTATTCGTTAAGTTCGTTAAACCAGAGAAGAGTCGACAACGAAAGGCAAAATTTTAACGAGAACGGGGGGTAAGGAAATAACCTAGAAGGAACAAAGGTGTCTCCGAGGGGTAGAAAGAGAAGGAAAGGGAATTATGGGGATTTAGATACGGGGTAATAGTACGAAGAAGCCAAAGGAGGAAGAAGAAAGCGGAAGGAAACGTTTCAAAGAAAGCTACGAGCAGAAAAGTGCGGGTCGAAGCGTGTTCCTGGTAAACCAGGAAGCAACTTAAATCTCGAAAGTCAGAATACATCGCGAACAGTGAAAAAGAATTTGGAGAACAAAACGAACTTTTATATCATATATTTCACCTCAGAACCCTCTTCGGCTTTAAAACAACAGAAAGAACAGTGATACTATAATTCGAGTTTCTTAAATTATTCAGAACCTCGAGGAAAAGATGAAGAAAAATAATTGCGAGTGTTGGTTCTATGAGACTGTGAGTGTTGGTTTTATATAATATGTGAATGGGAATGAGGTAGAATAAATGAAAGTCATTTGGGATGATATAAATATATACCTAATTCTGTTTTTACACGATAGATACGAAAAATAGAAGATTGGTTCCAGTCCCAAGAAATCAGCTAAAATAATACAATAAACCACGAGATTTCATGTTAGGATCTTAAAGATTTTATTTCATAAAGATTGCACATGTATCATACAAAGTAAATTATCATTTGAAAATGAAAAAAGCATGTCACTAATTCATGAACACAAAAATTAGGCAAGATAATATGAGTTACGCATAAAAAGATTTTATTCTTTGTCACTTATATTTTAATTATATTGTCACACATCGTAGGCTAAGGGGTTAATAAAACAAAGGTTTTAAAACTATAACTTACCATTTATTGACTTTTACGCAAAATTAATTCCTCGTCTCCAATGTCGCAGTTATAAAAATAAAAGTAAGGCAAAATTATCTTCTTAGAATTTGAGTCAATCGTGTTAAATCAAAATAAGTCGTGTAAAAAGAGAATTCAATTTTTTTCCTAATTCGTGTTAAATGAAAATCGTGTAAAAGAACAGAATTGGGTGTACTATGTGCGAGTGGAGTCTAGTATGAATGTTGTTAAAAGCATATTTAAAAGAATGTGCAAGAATAAAACAGTTACGTGAGAATCCTCATAAAATGAACATAATACGAATGATAAACATAATAAGAATGAGAGAGAGTCAATCTTTTTGTATAAAATAGTTTATTCAGAATTGTTATCAATATTTAAATATTATCTAAATATATGAATTTATTAACCGTTAAAAAACGTATAAAATATTAATTTACATTTCTATCGATAATAATTTTCCTTTTAACCCAACTTCCATAATTCCTCGTAACTTTCCAGTAACCACAGAGAATTTTCCAGGCCAAAAAGTACATTAGCAGGATTAAAAGGAACCAAAACTAAAAACTGCTACAAAATTCTCAGCTCGGGGACACCTTAACCTAAAAAGTGCAAACCTAACCTAGCAGGTTAACCTCCTAAAACGCGAAACACGATAATGGTATTCGTTAATTCGTTATTAGTCACAAACGACTCGTCTGACGACCTAGATATCGAAATACAAAACATCCGACTCGAAGCAGCGACGAAATGATTGCCAGTGTTGGTCGAAATGATCGGCCATTGTTCAGCGAGCGTCACGTGCCAACATGGCCGACAGGAAGCGTTCGGCGCTACTTATCCCGTGAAAACGTTCGATTATCGAGATTCCCATAATAGATGTACTTGTAACGACACTCTCGATCCCCCACGACGTGCATTATGCACCGTTCCTGAAAGGCCACAAACGCCGATACACACGTACGCGTCTCATGGAAACCGATCGTCGCGCGCGAGTTTTTCAAGCGACTCGCCCCTATTATAATCCGTCGACAGAGGATTACACGCTAGCTGGCGGACAGTCAGCTCGTGGATCCTTCGTTTCATAGAAATGAATGCGAGGCACGTTCTCGTTCCTTCCTTTCTTCCTTCCTTCTTTCGCGCTTAGCAAATACCCACGTGTTAACTGTGCTTTATGAACGGACGTGAGTCGCACCCTTGGTCCAGGAGGGACAAACGAAAGCAGTGGAATCTGCAAGCTAATTTTCGAGCTTTTGTATCTGCTTCGTTTATCCAGTTGGTACTTAAAGGTACTTGCAAAGATGATAAGATAGGAAACCAAGAAAATAGATAGAATTAATAATCGATTATAAAATATGAAAACAAGGAAAT